GGAGAAGAATTTTGCAGACTTGTGTTCTGAGGATCCAGAGACACAGAATAGTAATGGGAGTAGCATATCTCTTACCTAACGTGTAATCTTGGCTTCGGAAGTATAGTTTTGTTTTTTAGATGTCAGATGTTTTATTAAGTTGAGAATACATCTGTCATTAAAGATTAAGAGTAATCCTTGAGCAGGAAGAACACAAAACCTGTGTTTTTCAGACTTATTAAGTAGAGTTGCTGTGTACAGTAGAATATGATAAGAACATACTTGAAATGGAAGGATATGGGTAAGCATGTTGGTGCTGTTGTCAGAGAACTAAGTGGAATGGCTTTCAGAGCATGATCGAGGGCAGGAAAACAAATCGTGTATCTAAACCAAAGAAACTGGAACATTACACCTAAATTTAAGTTTTGAATAAAGCAACCAAAAATATAAAATGTGTATGTTGAACATATTCATTTCTGTCTTTGATTTAAAACCACTATTGGCACCAAACATCAGTGATTTAATTCAAGAAGCAAAGAAAATAGCATTCAAAATATTTCTTCTAAAGCATCAAACTCTTATATATGATTTGGCATTTTAGTTTTGAGGTTTCACTTTTGGCATTCTATAATGAAAACATGCATGACAAAAATATACTTCATAAACATGTCAGAAATCTGCACTTACGTCAAATGTGTTTGGATGTTTTGAACACATAAGTCAGTCATTTATCAATTTGTGATCTCTTGCATGTGGACAATAATGGGGAAGTGGGTGTGGGAAATACACAGAAACTTAGGAGAATCCTGGCATTTTGGTCATAAGATATTATTAAACCCAAACCAAAAAATCAAGACATAAACATGCTGACTCGGGCATCCTAAAAATGTTTTCTTCCCTGTGCTTATTTATAGATAAGGCTTTACTACATTTGGTAAAATTTCTCTTTTCCACCCACTTCTCTCAAAGTAAATTCACCATTGTGAAGAGCCTTACAAATTTGAGACAGTGTCTTTCTATATATCAGCCCTACATGAGGAGTCAGGGTTATTGAGCCTGAGATGATGCTGTATTTGAACACTCGGCATGTCAGTGTTTCTGCACCCTGACTTCAGTCTTGAAGTTGCTGCTGTATTCTGACAAAGGGTATGTTTCTATGCACAGGACATTCGATACAGAAATGGCTAGGTCCACACTGGCCAGAGCATTGTGTCATTTAAAGAGAAAAGTGGCTGCTTGGTTTGCTACTTGTGTTTGTTCAACAAGGGTTTGAGCCAACAAACACATCTGGGCTAAAATATAAAATGTGTGTGACCCAGAGTTCCAGAGCCGGGAGCTGGAAGCTGAAGCCCTTCTTTGGTGCACTTAGCCTTTATCCAGTAATTCTAGAGCATCCCTGCAACCCTGGGATTAACTGGACTCCTCAGCTACCCTAAAAAGAATGTGATGTGTGAGAAACCAAGGCAGCCTAGCCCTCCAGAGAGAATCTTTGCTGATCCCTAGTGAAAGATAGAAATGCCTTTTGGATTTTTACTACCTCTATCTGACAAAGACAGCTGGTTTTATAAATATCCCTCTGGCCATGGGAGTAGCCTGAGTTGTGCTAATCGCTGTTTCCCACACCAAGTGGGCTCAGCCTAGAAACAGGAAGGAAGGCCTCATCAGGGGCTCCTCCCACGGTATNAGCAGCTCGTGAAAGCGCACGCCAGCTGTCAGCCAGCCCCGCTGTAGCCTACACCATTGCCAGCGGCTCACGGCAGCCCAGCTCCAGGTTGAGCTGTTGTTCACCATCTTAGCTGTAGAGGGTGCAGCATCATGGGCCCTCATGTGGGATCTGAACCGGGGCCCTGTTGCTCAGAGCTGGCATCCCAAGCCAACCCCTAACCAATGTGCCACTTGGCCGGCCCTCCTACCTTATCTTTTAATCAGAGAAGCTGTTGTAGGATGAAAACTGCAGGTCCCCCTATACGTGAAAACCCCAGAGCCTCGCAACTGGTGGCATTCTGGTAGACCAGGAAGACAAAAGGATCGTGAGCATAATACATGGTTGTATTATATATACCTGGTAATGTCAGCCTGCCTTCTCTACTCTGCCTTGTTTCTACCCACCAAAACCAAGAGTTTTGTAAGGATTAGCTAATGCTGAGAAAAATACTTTGAAAACCATAAAGTGCCAATAATAAAATAGCTACCATTTAGTAGTGCCTCCTGTGAGCCAGATGACAGGCACGTTTTCAAAGTTTCCCTTTCTTTTTTTCCTCACAAAAACTTTACCAAGTTTGATTTTATTACCCTCATATTACCGAAAAGTTAAATGCAGTCGTGTAACATTCTTTTTTTTTAAATTATTATTATTAGTTTTAGCTAGTTGTGTGACATTCTTAACATTGCACAGCTGACTGGCCGCAGAAGGATTCCAACCCAAAGCCTTTCCTCGACACCAGCCTGTCTCATCAATGCAGGAATGACTAGGTTTGATAATTTCAAATGCAGAATAACAGTCCTAAATGTAGAATACCATGTAGAACTCTACATAGAACCCAGTGCTTTAAAACTCCTTTTAGAACACTGTAACTAAACAACAGCCCTAGGCTGAGGAAGATACCAGGACAAGTCATTATAAATCTCTAATTGGAATGCAGGGTACCTAAGCCTCCCTCCCGGAGGTACAGGCACAGCTTCTCCATTTCTCCACCAGCCGCGACCAACCCTAGCCAAGGAGCAGGCCCATGAAGGCATGCACACAAGGCTCCCAGCCCTGTCCTCAGCAGAAATGATGCTAGCTAGCAGTCACGGACTCCCTCCACTCCCCTGGGCCAGTGAAAAGCCTCAGGTCGTGAGTGGCCCCTGGCCCCTTGGGCTCCGAGCCTGAATTAAGTAAGGCCCAGGAATTATTCCTTGTCCCTCTCCCCACAAGCCTCTCCGAACCCCAGCCACCACAAATTCTCCCCTGTCCTTGACTTCACGCGTTTTTCTCCCACACCACCAGGTCCCGACTCAGACCAGTCCGAAAGCTGTGTCAACCCCCTCCTTGTAGCAACAAGGGGGGGATGGTCCTTGACACCTTGGCCCTTGAAGTAGGAGAGCAGCCTCTGACCTCAGCAGCCTCAGACAACTGCAACCTCGGCCCGACCATCCACAGCACCAGCTCCTCCTCCAGGAGACAGGCCAACCCCCCTGAAAGTGTCCCCCAAAGTCCCCACCTCCTAGTGGTTATTACCTTATTCCTCTTGTCCCACTTCCCCAGCCCTGCAGAGCGGAGAGTCAGGCTGCTGACCGCTCTCCTTGGACTCAACCAGAGAGAACTCGCCCGAAACGCCTACTTCAGATCAGTGGGAGGATCGGTGAGCCGCTAGGACTTGACCCCACTGCCCAGTTTGGCAACAGTGCCAGAGCCCCAGATCCTCAGACCCAGGTCAAGTCGATCACGCCTCCACCCTAGGCCCTCTAATGCAGTAGGTACGCCGTGTCCTAGCTGGAACCCCAAGACAGACCTCTCGCCCCTCAGAGCGGCCTCGGCCCGTCGCCCCCGCCCCCGGGAGGCCCTGACCTTGCCGTAGCTGGGGATCGTCCAACACATTGTAGGCCGCGTAGTTGCTGACGCCGTGCAGCCGCAGGATCTGCACCACCGCGTTGCTGAAGCCGCACTGGGGCTGTTCCGGCGTGCCCTTGAGAAAGACCACCACCTTGTCCTTCTTCACCAGCGCGTCCAGGTGCTCCGCCGAGCCGCTGCCGCCGCCCGAGCCCACCGCTCGCACGCCCGGGCCCCGCAGGCCACCGCCACTTGCGCCGCGCCCCCAGCGGAGCAGAGCTGCCGCCGCCCGGCCCAGGGACCCGCTCATCACGCACGCTCGCCGGAACCCTGGACGGCGGGGGACCTCAGCTTGCCACACGCCGCTTTTCCCCCGCCCCGCAGCGGGCCGGCCTGCCCCCCGGGAGTCCTCATTGGGTCAGCTCCGAATTGCTCTCTATGATTGGAGAACGCTGGCCCGCAATTACTCGGGTCTACCAATCATGTTACTTGTCCCATCCCGACTGGTTGAAGGTGGACCTTACGCTTGAGCCTCATCCTACAGCTTTACCATTGGCTGTCGGCAACCGCTTTGTCAGTTGATTGGAGAGAGTGAATGTCCATTAGGGTCACGCTCCGAGGCCAGGAGAGGAGAAAGGAGGGAAAGACGACTTCCCTCCGGAGGGTAGATGGGCCTGCTGGGATAGTGAGGGATGACTGGGAAAGGCGCTGGGCGGGGTTTCGCCGTTCCGCGGAACGCCGGGAAGGAGTTACTTCCAGGTGACGGTTCCGGTTCCGGTGTCGGCAGTAGTTGAGTTGCCATGGAAACGCGGTCGATGGGCGCCGGGTTCCTGCGTTAGGGGCGATAGCGGTGCCGGAGCAGGCGTGGGCCGTCTTTCTCAGCTTAGGTGAGCGACACCGGTGCCTCGGTAAGCCCACGGCCAAATGAAGCCGTTCGTGGTGGGAGCGGGGACCGGGCCGAGCCCTGGCTTACGGGCCTGCCCGAGGCTACCGCGTCAAGGCCGGGGCCACGTGGCCCAGCCCTCCCTGGGCCCCGCCGCCCACGTGGGAGCAGAGGCCAGGCCTCGGCCCGGCCTTGGCCCCGTGGCTCCCGCTTTTGGCGCGTGATTATTTCCCTAGAACAACTTTAATTTTAAAAGTTTGTAAAACGCTCTCATCTGTGTGATTCCATCTGGGTTTGGGGCTCCGCTGACGTTCCAGCCCACTATGGGCCTGGCCCCAGGAAAGATTTGTTGAATGAGCAACTAAGACGAGAATTGGTTTCCTTGTCAAACGTTTTCTAGCAGCTGCTGCGTGCTCGGCAAGGTGCCAGGACGGGGTCTCCAGGGAGACCTTGTGCCCAAAGCTTGTAGTCAGCGTGAGAAATGAGACACATACAAAGTAATGTGGGGGTACAAAGGAGAGAGGAAGCCCCCCTAAGCCCATTGTTTTCTCCCTTGTCTGTTGTTTTTACACCTTCACATATAGTATTTATTAGCTTGTTTATTGATTTCGTTCCCACGCACTCGACCTAATTCATTGTTCTATCCTCAGTGCCTAGAACAGTGCTTGGAACGTGGCAAATGCTCGTATTGGTGGAACGAGTGACTTCGAAAGAGCAGGACTCGGTGAAATCGCTACACGATCTGTAGTCTTGGAGCCGCACGGGGTTGATGGTACCCTAGAGCAGACCAGACTTGCAGAAAAAGTGTACCCCAGAGGAAGCTGAGGCATGACTGCTCAAGAGCCAGCCATGTGCAATTTTCCTCTGACAGTTCCTGGGTACTGTTGCCACGGTGATAATGACTGTCCCATGTCATTATCTATCGACCGACAGTAAGAAAAGCTTTGCAGTCAAGATATTGTTTGACAGATGGAGTGGTTTCTGTCGAACACTAAGTACTGCTACAAACTACCGTTTAAAAAGCCTTAAGTGTTTTTTTAAAATTGTTGCTGGAGGTGAACTGTTGATGCTTTAGAGGTGTTCAAGTTTGTTGAAATCAGAAAATTAGTGCATGTGCTGCCAGCGTGGGAATCTTCCATTCCACATAATCCTTCAGCGTGAAACTTGAGCCGAGTAAACTGAAAATAAACCAAAGACATTAGTCAGAAGTACTACCGTTTGGTGGTTTTTTAATGTGGGACCCAAAACTGATCAGCTTCTCAAAGAATCTTTTTTCCCCCCAGATTCATTGATTCCAGGTAAATCAGAGGAACAAGCATCAGGAACAGAAATATCCAGGAAACGCTGTACGTATGCGGAAGCAGAGCTGCTGTTTCAGAAATCTAGCACCCGGTCTGCATAACAGCAGAAAATAT